ATTTTCACAGCAGGGAGTCTCCAACCTGCCACCCACAGGGTGGCCAGCCTAAGATACTACTTACCAGGGTCTGGCCCTGAAACCTGTAGTCTCTCCTCCTCTCTCTCTCTCTCTCTCTCTCTCTCTCTCTCTCTCTCTCTCTTTCTCTCTCTCCTTCTCGCCCAGAACTTTGGCAAATGGTCCTGACTTCATCCTTGGCAAGCTCTGCTAGAAGGCGTGTGTTAGTTACCCTGACACCTTAAATGCCCAAGTGTTCCCTGGACGAAAGGGGTGGTTGTTATCTAACCTAGGACTTGTCTTTTTCAATGTTGGCAACCAAACTCGGGACTTTGTATGTTCTAGGCCAGGATACTACCTCTGAGCCGCCCTCCCGCTCTCCCAGGGATGGATTGTGCTCCTTGGCCTCTTCTTTTTTAGAGACAGAATTTTGATGGGCTGAGCTGGGCTGGAATTTGCTATGTAAGCCAGGCTGGGCTTAAACTTGCAAGATCCTCCTACCTCTACCTCCAATTTAGAGGAAAGTGCCACCATGCCTGGCATCTTTTTCCTCTTTTTAAAATATATATTTATTTTTGCCTGGATGGCCCGGAACTCACTCTGTAGAACACCCAGAGATCCACCTGCCTCTGCCTCCTGAGTGCTGGGATTTAAGGTGTGCGCCACCATCTGGGGTCCTTTCTAATTTTTATCTAAATGTCACCTCCTCCATGGACTCTCCCTGGATCTCATAGGATCTCCCTTGATTGACTCCTCCCAGAACTTAACACAAGAACCCAGTACTTCATGGTTTCATCTTTATCACACTGTCAGGCAAGCCTTGCCAGGACCACTCTTTGAGCTCAGCCCAGGGACTCGATCCCAGGGAGTGCTCAGTCAACGCTGGGTCAGACTTGGCCGCAGTCAGAACTGCAGTAGAAAGAGGTTAAGACCTTTGGTACCTTTGATCTTCTTCGCCCAAGGTGACCTGGCCTCCTTGGCCTCCTCCACTAAGAGCCACAGGAAATGTGTAGGTTACAGACAGGATGACAAGTCAGTATTCCTGGGGAGCTCCGACCAGTGAACGCCGCCCCTGGACTTGGGAAACCCGAATGGGCGACCCTCCTCCGATGGATGAATCAAGGCCCGCGGCGGGCTGTGGACTGGGGAGCCCTTCCCCCTCCCCGCTGCGTCCTGCCTTTGAGTCTCCCCGGGTGTGATGTCCAGCTAATGGGAGACGAAAAGCCTGGGTGGTTGCAGAGCGGTCTAAAGAGTTGCGGGAGTCGGGGCTGGCGGGATCCGATGCGAGCAGGGACAGAGGCGGGGCCCCGGGGGACGGGTTCGACCTGGCGACCCAGTCTGGGCGAAGCCCCCGCTCCCGCCCAGCCGGCGGCTAAATTTACCTAGGCTGACTCAGCCTTTGCCCGGAATGGGGGGCGGGGGGAGTGCCCCGGGGCCGAGGGAAGAGCGGGCAGGGGTGGGGCGGGGGGCAAGGAAGGGAGCGTCCCAGCCAAGGAGACAGGATGGGCCACAAGTTTCCAGCAGAGACCAGTCCTCCCCCTCCCCCGACGGCGAGCGGGAAGCCCCGAGGGAGGGACAGGTGGAGGCCTGGGTCAGCGAAAGGAACGCCAGAGCTTCATAAAGGGGAGGAGTAGATTTATTGGGCGCCGACTCTGTGCCCGGCGCCTTATTTATGTACATTACCGCATTAAATCCTCACAACAACCCTGCGAGGTAGGTGTTTATAAACCCCCATTTGACAGATGAGGAGACTGAGGCTCAGGGAGGTGAAGTGATTTGGCCAAAGGTCACATGGCTAGTAAATGGCAGACACGGGGGAAGTGCCCAAGGTTGGAAAGAGGGGGGGAAAAAAAGACTTAAACGTCAGTCTTAAGCCTGGCGGCGGCGGCGGCGGCGTAGATCAATACGAAGAAGGTCTGGGAGACCGGAGGCCTGCTCCCGGCCCCGCGCGCGCGCGGCGGCTCCGAGGTGTCCAGGCTGGAAACCGGCGCCGGCGGAGGGGGGGGGGGAGGCTAGGGGACCCCGAAAACTGGCCGCGCGGCTGGTGTCGGGGCGGCACTCGAGCACCAGCAACCGGGGGGAATCCGCGACCTGCGCGCGCCCCGTAGTGGCTCCAGCGAGTATCACACCCCGCGCCGACCGCGGAGGATCGGGCCCCTCTTTTCCCCTCGGCCTGGCTGTTGTGGTCTGGGCGAGGGGCAGAAGCCGTCGGGGGGTGGGTGGGTGGGGGTCAGGTCAGGTGGGGGCGACCCTGTCGGCGGCGTGCGAAATCCCGGGGACACTTCAGAGCATCCCGAAGGACACGGAGATGGAGGAAAGGGGGGGTGGCGAGGCCTGAAAGTGTCCCAAGCTGATTCATTGGCTGCCTTCCCTCTCCAGCTGGGGCCACCACTGGCCAGAGGCAGTGAGAGGACCGGCCCCGGGATCCTGCTCTGCCTTGGGGAGCACTCACCTAAACTTGGGAAGTTGGGGTGATAGAAGCCCTTGGTCCATTTACATCTGGAAAACCTTGACCGTGTCTTCCGCGCTGAGGAAGGGGTGACCTGGGTAAGAGCCCTCAAATTCTATCCGCTTAGTCCCCAAATCCCGGGGACGGAAGAGTGGGGCGGCAGACACCGCTCACTTGACATTTACAGGAATCCGGGGGTGCTCGGGTGCAAAGGCGGCTAGCCTAAGGTCCACCAGCAGCAAGTCAGCGGCAGAGTCGGAGCATCCAAGACAGCCCTCCCGCCCGCCCCCGGTTTGCTGGTTGTGTTGCATCCATCCATTCCTCCTCTGCCAAAAGCTCCCCGACACCTGATCACTCAGTCACTAGGCTCAAGGCCTCTCCATGACTTTTTCTCTCTCCTGCTAGGGACCCTGACCTGACCATTGCTTCCTCATGCCCGCCACCGTCCCTGCCCTTGGGCTTGTCTCTCCGCTCGGTGGTGGGTGCCAGCAGCGCCTGAATGTAGCAGGTGTTGAGTCCTACCCTCACCTCCCCTGAAGCTATAACCCTTGGATTGGCGATGGCTGCCTCGCCTCTCTTTCCTCTCCTCTGTTTCAAGTGTGGGAACAGGTACAGGTGGGGAAAGGAGAAACGGGGAGCAAACGAAGCCTGTGGAGAGCAAGGGAGGACGGAGAGCCCAAGGATGGATGGGCCGAGCCACGCGAGCACACAAAGGGGCATCGCTGCTCACTCTCGCTCTCGCTTTCCCTGGGGCGGCGTTTTCCTGGTGTCCCCTCCGAAGAGGCCTTCCTCGGTGTGACCGATGACATCTGGAGTCTCCCGGATACGGTCGCTCCGCTCGGCGGCGGTCTTCCCGCCTTCCCCGGGCCGGGTGTTTCCACCCGCAGGCAGGGTCCTCTCATTCCGCCAGGAGGCGCCTGGGGCGTCCGTGTCGCTTCCATCAGAGGAGCCACTATGGACGCTGAGCTCCTCGGCTTCGTCCGAGTCCGAATCCGGGGCGGTGTGGCGGCGGATGCGGGACACGGCTTCCCGCAACGCCCCGGCGTAGGGTCCTGGAGTCCGCGGCCAGCCCCCGCCCGTGCGCCGCAGGACCCCAGCCGCTTCCGAGCTCTTCCCGCTGCCCGCGCAGCCCGGAGCCGCTGGGCCTAAGGCCGGGTGCTCAGGGCTACCTGGCTGCGTGGGGGCGTCTCGTAGGTTCGCTTCGCCGCCGCCAGGGAACCCTAAAACGCGGGAGGCGCGGTCCTCCAGGGAAGAATCCCCCTGCTCTCCTCCCTCAGCCTCGCACTCGCGCCCCCCGCCCGGCTGGTTTAAGATACGACTGCTCACCGGCAGCTTCTGGCAAGCTGAGGGATTGGCCGTGACCCCCTCACCCTCCTCGTGGCAGGGCTGGGGTTGTCGCCTGGGGCTGTCGCTCACAATGCACGGCTCCCCAGAGGGCAAGAGCTGCACCTGCTGGGTGCGAGGGGTCGGAACATACTGGGACTTGATCACCACGCACGTGGCGTCAATGACAAAGATGCCTTCTCTACGAGAGGGGCCTCGGGAACTGCGGGGCAGGGTGTGGGCGCGGCGGGTCGCCTTCCAGACGTCCAGGGGTTCATGCTCTGTCCCCTCTCTTTGACCCAGGGACTCTCTCCACCCGGTGCCTCCAGGAGCCCAGGGTCTGGGGAGAGTCTGGCTGTGTCTAACTGGAGGCTTTTTAGGGGAGGAAAGCCAAGACTTGGGAAGCCAAATATATTCACTTCTTTCTTTCCCTTCCCTTGAGCCCTTGAGGTGCTGCCTGGACCTGGGAGCCGGACATGGGGGAGTGCGGATCGTAGACCCAGCGGGAGCTGCCTCGGTGCCTGAACTGCCAGTAGCTTTGGCTTGGGGATGGCCGTCGTTGCCACCACTGTTCAGGCCAGCAGCAGCTAGGCCCGAGCTTTTCTCTATCGGCCCTGAGCAGGACTCTGGCCTGGCTCTGGCCGCTGCACAGCCTGGAGCTCCTCCTAAGAGTCCCCGTCCCTGTCTGAGACCCCAAGCCCCTAGAACATCCCGGTAGATTCGAGGATCCAGCCTCTTCTTCGTGCGCCCTGCCTCTGTCCTGGTGGTGGCTGGAACTGGGGCTGACGAAGTGGGCGCCCGGGAGAGCTCCGGGCCTCGCTTAGTCCCCAGGGTCCTATGGGGGCCTTCGTAAGAAGGTGGAGCCACATAGGGTGGCGGCCGGTCCCAGCGGCGTCTTGGGGTTGTGCCTGCAGCGCCTCTCAGCAGCAGGTGAGCCTCGTAGCTAGGGGGCCCTGGTCTCCTACCTCCCCATGGCCCCGCCCACGCCACCCCTGGGTCACTCTGCGGGAGCGCGGATGGACGGGGCGCTCGCCCCACCGGCCCGAAGCGCTCAGGTCTGGAGAAAACTGGGAACCCGGTTGGTTGGGCCGCCCGAAGGGCGTTCCGGGGCTCTGGGCGGGGCTGACCTAGGGGACTCCGTCGGGCCCCGCCAGCCTTGCGCCTTTTTCTCTCGGTCTCCTTGGCCTCCCGCTCCTGCGACGCCGCCTTCCTTTTCTCTTGTTCCCGGGCTCGGACCTCGGCGAGGGGCCCCGCCCGCCAGTTGGTCGCCTCCTGCAGCACCCTGGTGGCCCAGGGTCGGCGGGGTGGCGGCTCCGGGGATCCCGGGCGCAGCCTACACCTGGGACAATGAGCAGGAACCCAGGTGAGCAGTTTGTGGGGAAAGGGAGCCGAGGTCCGGGGAGCTGGGAGTACTGGAGACCACTTGGGGCAGCCATGTGGGAGGGTACGCGCGAGCGCGTGTGCGAGTGCACGTGCGTACATGTTAGGGCTGAAGTCGAAACGAGACTCCTCGCCATCTCTCCATGCACACTTTAACAGCGACTGCCCCATGTCACCTCCTGCCCTTCCTCACTACCTCTTCTGGCCCCCTAGGCAGCGCGGAACGAGGCAGGCCCCTGTCCTCGACGAGTGGGGGGAGGGAGGCGCGGGAAGGAGAAGGGGCCAGCAGGGACCGCTGGTGCCAGCAAGGAGGTCTGGACCCCACTTCCCGCCCCACCACTTGCTGCCCCTCACCCCCTCCTTCACTCACGTGCGGCTCTGGGGCCCACGGGCCCAGTAGCTGGCCTGGATGTCCATGGACTGTCGAGAAGGAGCGCGACGGCTATAATGACAGGAAATAGTCTTGACTTCAATCACCAACAGCTTGGACTTCTGCACCCAGAGGCAGCTGCCCGACTCCTCATCCTGGAGATCCCGGGGGCTGTCGGGCCCCTCGGAGAATAACGGGCCATCCAGCATCCTGCCCCACCCCACCCCGGCCCCCCACCCTCCCACCCGCCCCGTGAGCCCCCTCCCAACCCAGGGAGCCGGCGCCCACTGCAGAGCGGCAGGCCCAGGGACTGGCAACTATATATACCCGGGCACACGTGTGTGCCTGCCTGTGTGTGTGTGTGTGTGTGTGCTCGCGCGCGGGCGCGCGCGCATGTGACACGCCGCCGTGGACCGCTCCGCGCTGCTACCTCCCCCATGTACACGGCCGCCCCCTGGGGCCTGGGATTGGACGCCCCTTCCCACTACTCAGGTCCCCCAAACCTAATGGGACCCGCGAATGGGCGCGCGCGGCGGGGGGGCGGGGGGGGGAAGAGACAGCTGATTCTTACCAAGCTTACAGTGCCCCCTCCTCCAGTCCCTATTTCTGCACCCTTCCCGAAGTTTTAACCCTTTGCTTTCCTGCTTGTCAGGTTGCCTGACCACCCGTGGTCTATGCCTGCCTGTCTGCCTGCCTGGACTCCTTTCTCCGACAGGGAGTGGTGAGAATAGAACTCAAGGTCTCTGCCTGCCACTCTCTGCTGGTTTCCATGGGGTTGGGGTGCAGGAGAGGCTGGCCCACAGCTGGGGGGGGCGGGCTATTTTTAGCGTCCGTGGCATTCGGGTAAGGATGAGATGAGTAACCAGTTCAAGCAGTGGAGAGAAGAGGCGGTCGCTTTCAGGAAGCTTTTGTGCGACTCTGGGGGACAGCCGCTCCCCTGCCCCCCCCCCAAAGGTGGCACCTGCATCCTTTACTCCTCGCCTCCTTTTCTGGTGTGTAAGGCAGAGCTCAGTCTGTCCTGGCCACCTAAGCAACAGGACAACTCTTACTGTAGATATGGGTGCCCTTCCTTGGGCATACTAGCTCCCCTAACCCAGAAGCCAGGATTCTGGGATTACACAGTTCTGTGCCCACACAGCTCCACCAAGCCTTATGTGGGGTGCAGATAGAGTGCTTATATACACTTGTGCCCTAACAGAGGGGGGCGGAGGAAGAATGGTGTGCTTCTGTGGTACAGACAAATCCCCTAGCAACAGAAAGGATAAAAGTGGCCTCTCTTTCCTAGAATGGGGCTCCCACTCACGACTGACTCGTCGCCCAGTTCACTTGGCCCAGTGCGGCTCACCTTTTGGACTCACTCTGTTCTGGGGGGGGGGAGTTGTTGCATCCTCAGGATTCCTCCCCCCAGGCCTGTACCAGGTGTCCCCTGATTCACCATGGTAATGTTAGTGGCAGCACAGCCCACGCCAACCCTTCCATGCAGAGACTTAGCAACCATGCCTGGCAACCATGGCAGCAGCTCGGTGGAGGGGAGGGGGGCAGGGAGGGGGGAAGAGGGTGGCAACGGCTCCTGAGGAAGAAGGGACCCTTTGCCCCTCCTGACTTTTAAGGACAGAAGCCTGTGAGCTTCCACATTGTCTCCCGTGTGTCTTCAGCGCCGCCGTCCTCAGCTGGAGACTTGGTGGGGGTGTTAGGGGGTAAATGGGAGAAACAAGAGATCCCCCGTTTGTGTTTCAGAAAAGTACAGGGAACATTTGGGTACAGAGACTTCTTTTTAAGGGGACGGGGACCGAAAGGGTTGTTACAGGGCAGAGACAGGACTCACTGAGGAAGAGGCAGACCCGCCGGCTCTGCTGTCCCATCCACTCCCCCCGGTGATTCCTTGCACCTACCCGCCGCACTGAAGATGCTTCCAGGTGCTCCTTTCCACTAGGTCCTACCAGCGGTCCTCGGCTTTTAAAGCCCTGCCTCCTCCCTAGACAATCCGTGATGAAGGAATGCGACACAAGGAGACATTTGTCCTTCCCACCACGCACCCCCTACACACACACACACACACACACACACATAAACATGTTCTAATTCTAATAATTTAGAAGCCTCCCTCCCCCAAGCTCGGGAATGTGCTGAGAGCGGTGAATGCAGCAGATGCAGGGCTCCACTGGGGTGCATGGGTGCATCCTTGAGAGCTGACCTCTGACAAGTGTGGATGTTTTCCCCGTGTGCCATCGGGAAGCCTGCTTTGGAAGAACAAGGATAGTATGGCAGAGGTTCCTCGGAAGGCATAGGCAGAGGAGGGAGAGCCAAGGAATTATTCAGAACCTACTCCTGGCTTGGATGCAAACTGTCCTATCAGCAAAGCAGTGGTGGAGAGGAGCGCAGTCTGGCAGTCCTCACGGTGTTGGCGGCCACGTTCAGTCTGGGTAGTTTCAGCACAGTGGGTCTGGTGGGCTGACCGCAGCTCTCTTTTCCTCCATGATTTACTCTACCTTAGAAGAAAGGCAAGGGCCGGCAGTGGCGGCACACGCCTTTAATCCCAGCACTCGGGAGGCAGAGCCAGGCGGATCTCTGTGAGTTCGAGGCCAGCCTGATCTATAGAGTAAGATCCAGGACAGGCACCAAATCTACACAGAGAAACCCTGTCTTGGAAAATGAGAGAAAAAGAAAAAGAAAAAAAGATCTGTGGGTTCAGAATATCAGTCCAGCCAAATCCAAACCACTCAACCTTCCTCCAGAAACCCTGATGAAGTTTGCAGACCTCTCTGTCCAAAGACCCTAATCAGTTCTCCAGTTTCTGGAGACTTAACATTAGTAAATTTACCCTGGGCCCTACTATGGTCCAGGCAGAGGAGAAAGTAAGATAAGAGAAACTACAGGAAATAAGCCGGGAACAGTCCTGAGGGAATTAGAGAGGAAAATTAGTGTAGAGATAAGAAAACATAAAACCTGGAACCAGACAGTTTAAATATTAGCTTTTTTTTTTTTTTTTTTTTTTTTTTTTTTTTTTTTTTTTTTTTTTATTTTTTTTTTTTTTTTTTTTTTATGGTTTTTTTTTTTTTTTTTTTTTTGAGACATGATCTCACTATGTAAGCACCTGGAACTTGTTATGTAGATCAGGCTAGCCTCAAACTCAAAGAGATTTGTCTGCCTCTGCCTCACTAGTGCTGGAACTAAAGACATATGCCTACCAGCTTTGCTTTTAAAAAATGTATTTATGTATATGCACAATGTTGTGTGTGGGTGCACATGGCATGTTGTGATGTGGAGGTCGGGACAATTTTGTGGAGCCTGTTCCCTTTCTACCTTTAAATGGGTTCTGGCAACTAAACTCAGAGGCTAAGCTTGCATGGCGAGTACCTTTACCTGTTAGCTTTGCTTTTTACCAGGTGTGTGGCTCTGGGCCAACTTTTAAGTATGTGCCTCAGTTTTAAATTCTCTTAAAACTGGAAAAGGTTGCTGAGTGGCAGCGGCGGCGGCAGAGGCAGCGGAGGACTTTAATCACAGTATCTGAGGAGCAGAGGCAGGCAGATCTGCACAGTGAGTTCCAGGACAGCCAGGACTACACAGAGAAACCCTGTCTTGAAAAACCAAACCAACCAAATAAACAACCAACCAACCAAATAGAACTGGAGAAGGTGCTGAGACGGCTCAATCTGTAGAATCTTCATCTCAAAAGGCTGAGGCACCGAGTTCAGATCCCCAGAACCTACATAAAAAGCCACATGTGGTGGCATGTGCTTTTAATCCCATGGGTCCTGGAGTCTGCCGGCCACCTACTCTTGCCTACATCATGAAATCCCAAGCCAATGAAAGACAGTGTCTCAAAAACAAAGACTGTCACCTAAGGTAGAAGGTGAGGACTGTCACCCAAGGCTGTCCTTCAGCTACCACTTGCCTACACACAGGCACACACAAAGGTTTTTTGTTCTTGTTTTTGTTTTTTTCTAGATAGGGTTTCTCTGTGTAGCCCTGGCTGTCCTGGAACTCACTCTGTAGACCAGACTGGCCTGGAACTCGAGATCCACCTGCCTCTGCCTCCTGAGTGCTGGGATTAAAGGCTTGTGCTACCATGCCTGGCTCACAAAGATTTTTTTTTTTAAAGTCAGACCCTGAATGCAGCAGCATGTGCCTATAATCCCAGTACTTAAGAGTTGGAGGCAGGAGGATTGCTACAAATCTGAGGCCAGCCTGATCTACCTATAGTACAAAATCCTGTCTCAAAAAAAAAAAAAAAAAAAAATTGCCAGGCGGCGCACGCCTCTGATCTCAGCACTTGGGAGGCAGAGCCAGGCAGATCTCTCTGAGTTCGAGGCCAGCCTTATCTACAGAGCGAGATCCAGGACTGGCACCAAAACTACATGAAGAAACCCTGTCTCGAAAAACCAAAATAAATAAATAAATAAATAAATTCTCCCAAGTCCTAAACACTTAAGAGTCCCATACAACCTGTACAGTTAAACCATTGAGAACATGTGCTTTTGTGTGTAGTATCATTACTGTTGTTATTGATGAGGTGAAGTAGCTTTATAAGGTAGGAAGGTTGTTGAAACAGTGTCTATCAAATGCAGAAATCAAACACTGCAATACCATGATGAAAACCTTGTCATTTAATTAGATTTGCTACAAAAAGCATTAATCTTGGCTACCTACCCATTGCCCTCCTCCACACAGCCATCTGCCTCCACATGCACAGAGCACAGGAACCCAGACACGCACCTCCCAAGATTTATGGGAAGAAGTGACATTAAATGGACTCAGCCTCCTCCACACAAATGAAGCAGGATGAATAAAAATATTTTTAAGAAGATTTTGTGGAGCCATTATCTTTGGTGGAGTAAGGGCGGAGGCGGAGCTGGGGCACGGTGAGGTGTAGGGATCTCGTAGAGATCAGAATCTGCCTGAGGAGCACCAAGCCCATGGTTCCCCGAGAAGGGCTATGTCTAAGGGCACAGGACTAGGATTGGCTGGGCTCAGCGTTGTCTCAAATGTACACATGATGGTAAGGGAAGCTAAAAGTCCTTTCTCCTCATCCCCGTCTCCTCTAGTTCCAGACAGTGGGCATGGAGCTCCCGAGGGAACAGACTCGGTTCTCCCAGGATTTCATCTGATTCCCAGAGCTCCCGGGAGGCAGCGAGGGGTCGTGCTCAGGGTTTCTTCTCTCCCCCTGTGAGCACCAGAGCCTGCAGGATGTCCGACAGCGACACAATGCCCTTGACCACATCATTCTCATCCACCACCACCAGACGGTGAACCTGGCACAGAGCCACGAGAAGCAGTGTTAGTGCCAACTTCAGTTAGGGTGAGCGCCTCAGTCCCGGCCCTCTTTGAAAACACCATTCTCCAGGCCGCTCCCCACTAGCTGCTTGAGGGGGGCTGGCCTCCTACCTCCGCTTCCACCAGCCTGTTAATGATGGTTTCCAGGGTCTCGTGTAGGTAGCACTTGAGAACACCCTCAAAGTAGTGGGACCGATGTTGGAGGGCTTTTGTCACGGACACGTCTAGGTTGTTGTAGGTCTTTTCTGCTGCCAGATTCTGGAGGTGGGGGTGCACTTGAAACGGGGCCCGTTCCCGAACCCTGGACCAACCCAGTCTCACTAGAGAGACTGAGGCACGCCTCAGCTCTGCCCACAAGCCAGAACCAGTCTGTTCAGCTACTGTCCAGACAGGATTCGGAGCACAGAAGCGGCTGACGGCTGACGTAGAGGAAGACCCCCTGCTGCTCCCCGCCCCTCCCTCCCC